GTCTTGATAACAAAGATTTCCATCTACGACTGCACGTTCTTGATGTATCCAGTTTAAAATAGTATATATATATATATATATGAGTAATCATAAGTTAAACGCAATTGTATGAATTTGTGGTTCAAATATTTTATTGTTTGGTTGCAACTGTCAATTGGCCGTTTTTGTAGTAATGATAGCTAGTATTTTAATAGTAATATCTTATTTGTGGTTTTAGTTATAGTAACTTTTTGAACTTGGAGTAAGTATTCAGCTTTATAATAGCAATTGTTTGTACTTTTTTGTAAACTATTTTGACGCAACCGACAGCCTGACCTTTCAACACCTAAGTAAACAAACGCGTCGTATGTGTTTAAAGTTACTTGATCCTGGACAGTTGTGTTTGATCATAAATGATTCTATCATCAGTAATGATTTTAGTTTAAATTAGCTTTTTGCTTATGCCAAAAATATAACGCAAAAGTTATCCTACATTTTGTTAAATTTAAAGTACTTTAAATACTGAGTAGATGTGCTTATTTTGTATATTATAAAAATGGTGCAAGTAAAACAAAGCTATCGTAAAGTTACAAAACTATGGGGAAAATATTTTGTGGGTATTGGACGGCGTAATAGTGTGACCCAAATATTCTTTATGCCTCAAAATAATACTGATCATTATTAAGTTAGGTAAACGTCACCAACATAGGTTTACTTTTAAAGCAAAAATCACATGACTACTTCAATTATACGAAAAACAAAATATCATCAGGGAAGTAAAACTAGAAAAAAAAGGTACCAGATTTCTAGAAATAAAAACAACTGTGCAAACTTTACGGAAAAAAAAGGACCTGAATGAAAGCAAAGGATAATGTTATGTCAACCACACTACATCTGCCATATCCAATGACGACTTTAGTCAATATCAGGGTTCATCATACTGACTTGTAGTTGTTGTCTAGGCTTTATATACATATATCATTAACTTTCATGAACACCAACTATTATGGTGTAAACCAGATTAAGTAAGTGAAAGCTACAGAAAATAATGAGACGTAGATGGCTTACGGTCCTCTATAATTGTATAGTTTTCGTACAGAATCAGAGTCACGAGACAGTGTGTAAATCGAATAATTCAGCGCCCTCTGTCTCACTACCATTGATGTAGCAATCGGAGATTTACAGAATATAACAACTGGATTATTTCATGGGAAATGTAAGAAATATTTTAATTATTTATGAACTTTCATATGATTGCTCAAAATCGTTTAGAAAGTTGTGATCAATCACCCGTACTAACAGTCAACTGTTATCACTACTAGTAGAAATATTTGTACTTGTAGAATTAGTGATGGTAACTGTATTGTTAATCAGTAATAATGAAAATTTAATGACAAAGCTAAGTGGCGATTTTTTTTTGCTGTCTGTTTTTGTTAGGAACCGAGTATCCCGGAAGAGATGACAACCAAGAAAACTATACCAAATAGCGAGTGAGTTGCAACTGTATATGTGTGTTAAAAGTATATGTATTTGTGAACCCCGTGAATTCGCCCGATCAACCATGGCCATTACAAATTCACACTTTAGGACAAGACATCAGAATACATAAGTATCATTGAATGTGCCATAAAAAAGGGGTTTTAAATCCCAAAACCCCATATATATATATGAGCTTGAGTGACGATGTTTTTGCCATGGGATCACCTTGAAAGTAATAATAATAATAGGCGAACTCTTTGGTCTTAATGGAATATGTCACGATGGGTAGCTTAATAAAATGAAAGATCGTTTTGCTTTGGTTTTTATCTTATATCTCTCTAATGAAGTGCGTAAAAGATATGGAGAACGATATTCTTTTTATGGTTTGATATCTTATATGTTCATTGTTTTTATCAAGCTAAAGATATAGTTGCTTTATTTTGATATGTTTTTACTCCCTCCCCCACCGTCCTCTGATCATTCACTTCAAGTACATTTCATTTTAATTTGATTAGTTTAGATAATCTACCAGTAAACTTTTCTTTTGAGTCCTGAGGCCGCTTAGTAAACTTCGAAATAAGTTTTAGTGGAATGCTTGGAAGAAAATATTATTCTGTTGGAAATTTATTATATCTCAAATGTTTTTCATGGTGGTGTAACAAAATTTAAAGTGAGCTATCAAAATAATAATCACAATCAAAGATTAGAATTAAATTAAAATAATGTTCAACCTGAAAAACATTATTTATAGACGAAAAACAGGCAAAGTTAACTCTTAATTGAATTATTTGGTCTCAATTAAAAACTCTAAGTTCCAAATACTAGTGTAAAAGTTTAGTGTTTCCAATTAAATTGAATTTTTTCCAATTAATTTTCGAAACCATTTGACCGAGAATGATTTTTATGGCATAGTATTTAACAGTACTTACTAATTTAATTAATTTCATTTAACCGTGTGCCCCCCAGTGGCACGGCGGTATGTCTGCAGACTTATAACGCTAGAATTCGGGTCTCGATACCCGTGGTGGGCAGAGCACAGATAGCCCAATGTGTAGCTTTGTGCTTAATTACAAACAAAGAAATAACAGTGTAAACATTTTATCCAGGTACTGTCCATCGAGTAATAAAGTTGAAAAGATTTCAGTCTGTGCATGTGCTCGAAAAATGTATGACAAATGTTGCTGGACAAAGAAGGGTTATGTTTTTCATTAACCATCTGTGTTTGTAGAGGAACCATAACTGTGTAATGGTAATTGGTAATTATGATCAAAATGTTGTTGTAGCATTATGTAATTGATTCGAATCTTTTCGCTATGAGCTATTTTCTCCTTTCTTAGTTTATAGACAATAGCAACTCTTCATATATCTAGAATCACTGTGATGCTCATTGTTCTGATTTGTCAACATTGGCGTTAACCTTAAGTTTCTTAATATATACCATGATAATATAATTATTGTATAAAGTTGTTTGAGGTTTTCGTACTTTTTCTCGCATTAGGCTTAATATATTAAGTTATCAGAATCGTATGTTTTGTTTAAAAAAAAACAACAGAAAATTGATTTTGCGTGGTTAAAGTCAGGTGGTTTTTCATTACAACTGATAAATATGCATCATCACATATCAATTTCTTTATTGTAAACATTTGTTTATGTGTTCGTATTTGTGGTTTGATGTTCATGAGTTAAGTAGAAAATTAATGCAGGTTATTTCCACCATTACACTAAATATTAATAAAATAGATTACTTTAATGATAGTAATTATTTTTAGGATATTCTGCTAGACAAATGGAATAAAACAAAATGGGCATTTTGATTATACAGTGAATAAAAACTTTCCTGGTAACTAGTAAAGTGTAAAACAATTTTTGTTGAATTATACTTATAATGCACTTTATCATGACCCCTACCTTTCATTTTATGTAAACGTAACAAACGTACTGAATGTTGGAACGTTATGTTTTACTATGACTTGTTTTACTTTAATTTAATGATAAAGTATGCCTGAGAACGTTTTGGTATTCTTGTCGAGCTCACATTTGTAGATATTTAGTTTATTTGCAGAATGTAAGAACTGAATTGTTATTTCTTCTCAGTTATAATCTAATATAAAACATATGTTCGTTTAAGAAAAAGAACAGTGTCCATTGTACCCATAACAAGTACTTATGGAGATTTGATTGTTTCAGTTTTTCTAGATTTGGCATTGCGTTTATTAAAAGTTCAATAAAATTACATATATTAGAACTTACCTGATCCCTAGTTTGAATAATATAAACGAAATAAACAAAACTAAAACACAACAACACTTTATCATTTTCTTTTTACGAACTGTGAATAATTTTGTTCATTTACACCTTTCCCTCGCTTTACATTGGGGACGTGTTCTGAGAAAAAGCAGTGTAAAGCAACTCCGTGTAAAGCGAACACAATTTTTTATAGAAAAAGTGGGGGTTAGATTACAGACCCCCTCCCCTAGGCCCAGCATTCCCAGAAACCAAATAATTATACAACTTAAAAATATATATTGATACTCACCAATACAAGTCACACTAAGATGTGATCTGTGGCGTGAGGATGGAAAGTGAGATGCTCTGAGGAGAGAGTGGTGGAGAGTCAGATTCCACCTCACTGGCAGCAGATTCTGTCACTTCTATTGGAGATAAGGACTGCTATACATGTTGAATTTAATGAAAAATTGTCAATTTGCTTTCAACCCATTTTTAGTAGAGATGCACGGGTAGTAAAATTTGGCCGAATACCGGGTCCGGGTACCCGGTTACTTAGCTTCGGCTAGGGCCGGATTCTTTTCCTGCCCCTCCCCCCCAAAAAAAACAACACACACACACACAACAAAAACAACATATACAAAAATTAGAAACAATAACAAAATTGACGTTTATTACATTTAACCGAATAATCACCAACAGAACATTCAAGTTATATTTTCAACTTTCAATGCCTAGCCCCAATTTCTAAAACCCTAACCCCTATTGTTCTCAGAAACCCCACCTTCCCTAGAAGTCTTTTTCTCAAACCATATCTGTTATCAACCCCTATTGTTCTCTGAATCCCCAACTTTCAGCGGGCGGTCAGTTTTTGTTGCTCGGAACAAGTTTTTTTTCTTTGATTTTTAAAAGTAAACCAATTATTGACTGTAACTTTCAGTACAGCGTTAATTGCCACAAAGATTAGGATTTAGATGCCTAACTACTGATAGCGCAATACCCGACCGGGGCCGAATATCTGACCGGGTTACCTGTTTACCCCTAATTTTTAGTAAAGTAAAATATAAAAACCCGCCGCAGCGGAAGAGCGATGCTAACCTGTCCAAACTAGGATAAAAGTTCAATATTATTTAATTATGAAGCTCACTTTGCTTACTCAACTTATGATAAAAAAAAATGAAGGTGCTTTTAATCTTTTTACAGTATTTTCCCTTCTTTTTGTATATGTACGCATAAAAATCTAATAAGAAGTTTTTAAATGCGTTTCCATTGTTACTTTATAATAATTTCCCGCTTCCATGAAAACATTTATTCTCAATATAATAAACCTAGTTACAGATTTTTTCTCTTCCACAAAGTGCTGTGACGTACAGAAAGTGTTTAATAATTCTGATTTTAAGCATGAAAACAATGTATGATTGTGTTAATCAAATAATTTACTATTAACGTAAATTGTCTCAGCGATAAAGTTATCACTGTTTGACTACTTTAGTTTATTTGTTTTAAAATATCTCAAATAATCAATGAAACCAAAAGTAAGTTACTTAGAGCTTCGTGTTGTCAAAACCGTCTTTTAGAAAGATGAATATATAGGAAGACCCGCGAAACAGATCTAGATTAAATGAAATGGAAGAAAAAATAAATACTAATTGTTAACACTGTTCATTAATCTCAGAAACGCAGTTCGTTTCTCTGTAAATAGAGATCTTCGAGCAAGCCAGAATAATGGACGGGACTAATATACAGATGCCCACAGGAGCTGAAGTTAAGACTGTGCTTCTTTTTTTATTTTTGTAAGAAGCTTTCTAACAAAACAAAACAAAAAAAAAAAAGGGAGAGAGAGAGTAAAGAAAATGTAAAGGAAGTTTCTCCGTAAAATAAAAAAGTTTTGAAATTTTTCATCTCCTTTTAAGTGGGCTTAGTAACTAGCGTGCTGGACTGAGATCAGAGGTTTCGCGGTTCATATCCCGTTACTTACAAAAATAAAATTACACTCCTTTGGTGCGTAACAAGAGTGACAGTCAAATCTCACTACTTGGTCTGTTTGTTTGTTTTGGATTTCGCGCAAAGCTACACGAGGGCTATCTGCGCTAGCCGTCCCTAATTTAGCAGTGTAAGACTAGAGGAAAGGCAGCTAGTCATACCACCCACAGCAAACTCTTGGGCTATTCTTTTACCGACGAATAGTGGGATTGACCGTCACTTATAACGCCCCCACGGCTGAAAGGACGAGCATGTTTGGTGCGACGGGGATTCGAACCCGCAGATTGCGAGTCGAGCGCCCTAACCACCTGGCCATGCCGGGCCTACTTGATCTGAAACAGTTGGCGTTGGGTTGTGTCCTCTAGTTTCCCACTCCAAAATTAGCGAAATTCTACAAACAATAACATTGTGCATTATGATAATCCCATTTCGTGTGCTCATACGTCTACGTACATATTTTTAACTTATAAAATGTTATCTATATTCTCTGGGAATATTAAAGTGTTAACATGGATTTGTTTTGTTTTTTGTTGTTTTTTTTTTAGTAAAACTTAAACCCCGGTGGCTTAGCCGTAAGTCCGAATGCCCTTAACGCTACAAATCGAGTTTCTATACCCGCGGTAAGCAGACACAGCTGGCCCATTGTGTATCTTTGTGTTCAACAAGAAACGAACACTAAAACTTACACAATAAGAGCTGTAGTAGCATGTGACGAGTCTGGAAGAAAAGCTGTTAAACCCACAAATTCCTTTTTGATGGTTGGAAGCGGACTTTACAGTATCATGGATATTTATGATGTTAGAAAAATACGTAGGTTCAACAAGTCTTCATAGAAATGAGTAAAAACCCTATAATCCGAGCGCTTTCGAAACGTGGACCCTTCTTCTTCAGAGGCAAACTGGTTATACTGGATATCCATTTATATTCTACCCTTCACAAAATAATCATGCTTATCCATTTATACTCTACCCTTCACAAAATAATCATGCTTATCCATTTATATTCTACCCTTCACAAAATAATCATGCTTTATATTAATTTTTTGCCACAATCTTCTAAGGAGAAGTATCCACTTTTTTGCAAAAGACCGATGCTCATTATATGCAACAGAAATAAATCTATATACTTATAACACTAAAACAATGATTTGGAAATTACTATTTAGACAAAGGGGCATATTTAAACGGACTTTTACCAATTACCGTTTAGACAAAGGGACATATTTAAACGGACTTTTACCAATTACCGTTTAGACAAAGGGACATATTTAAACGGACTTTTACCAATTACCGTTTAGACAAAGGGGCATATTTAAACAGACCTTTACCAATTACCGTTTAGACAAAGGGACATATTTAAACGGACTTTTACCAATTACCGTTTAGACAAAGGGACATATTTAAACGGACTTTTACCAATTACTGTTTAGACAAAGGGACATATTTAAACGGACTTTTACCAATTACCGTTTAGACAAAAGGAATTATTTAAACGGAGTTTTTCACGTCTAAGTAATTTTTTCTTCTAAAATCTGAGAATTTACTTAGGAGATTAACCTAACTATAAAGAACTTTCTGACGATACCTTTTTAATGGTAGTCAGAGGAGAGTTTTCTCAGAAGAACAGTTCTTGTTACTTCTATTATGGTAAACAGGGTATATTCATCTGGTCACTTGGTATTCGCTATTTTTTGGTTTACGACGTTCATGAAGTGAAATATGACGTGCCAATGTGTTCCATAATCGTCATGAATTATTTGTTGTTATGCACAAAACTAAGCAATGTTGTACCCACCAAAGGATCGAACCCTGAATTTTAGCGTTATATTGCCCTATGATAACCACCTGGGCAATCGTAATCGAGTTTTTATGTGTTATTGAACACATTATTTTAAAGCATAACGAAACTTTAAGAATTTTGTAAATATTTTATGTGGGTATCATTAAATTTATTTATAATACACGTGTAAAATTCTGCTTAAGGTATATTGATCGTATCACCGGATACATAAGTATGACAGGAAGATAAAGTAAGGTGTACAAAGCTGTGTTTGTATCTATAGTGATACGTACCACAGTCGTCAGTCAGAAGCCAACCAGCGAAGAAATTCTACCATGTTGTTGGTGTAACGGTTGTACGCGAAACGAAACTGGATTTAACAATTCATGGTACCATTTATAAGATTTCTTTAAAATATACAAGCATTTTGATACGAGAAATATAACCAGTGAAATGTTTAAAGTTATCGCATAAGTTACAAATTATTATAAAAAATATTTTATTTACAAAATTCCGCCAAAAGCTACACAAAAAGACTATTTACATATAGTTAATTCTATTTTCAACTAATAGTCAAAAACGTCCATCGCTAACTCTTGGACTATTCTTATTGGATTAAACAGGAGGATTTAACCATATAATGTGACCTTATATAAAGCAATGGGACTCGAATCGTGAATCCGTGTATTAGGCCAAGCCGTTCTATAAAACATTAACAATTTACTGATTTCTTGACTTGACGGAATAAAAGTAAGAAATTTACAGATGGCTGTAACAAACTTTCGTTTTGAATGCCGTGTAAAATATTTGTTATTGCTTTTAATACCAAAATTCTTAGTTTGAAATTATGTAAAGGCACATATATTATTTAAGATACTAAAATAAATTACTGAGATTGTCAAATAATACGTGGTTTTACGGAGGTGTACATTTTAGTGAGCTGATAATCAATCTTATTTTACGAAGTATTTCAAATTTTGTGAATAACTTCTTAGACAGAAGATAAATACGATTTTTACGATGTTATGGTTATTAATACTATAAACTATATTACATATCCACACTGAACTTGCTTTTAAACTACTGTAAATCTAATTTCACAAATAGACAAAAATACAACTACTACTTGACACAGATAGAAATAAGAACAGTTAAAAAATCCATATATAAGCTCAATTATGAAAACACAAGGTAAAAACTATTCATTTGTTTACTTGTACAGAAAACCATATGCACATTAA